GGCGGAGGTGCTGGGCATTTTTATTACCTGTGCGCTCTGCCAGCAGCTCATCAAATATTGAAATGCCAATTTCACAGATACTCAGAAAGCAGCAACGCAAAAACAAAAGCAACGCTGCCAAATTCAATTTGGCAAACTAAACTAATTGCCACTCAGCAACGGCAACGGCAACAACCACAGTAAATACAACAACAATGGGAGCGACAGCTAAGCATAAGCCATACTAAACAGCAGCGGCGGATGCATTAAGTGAACGACAATCGAACTGCTTTGGTTTTGAAATACCCTAGGACTCCAATAAAAGTGGGCCATGATATACTGCGAGCAAGCAAATGAGCAGAAGGGAGAGAGAGAGAGATGGAAAGGGTCTTTAATTAGAGAGAAGCTAGTTTAGATTTTCCTGAATATGAGAGGAGCTAGAGCAATATTATTCTGATTACAGGAACCTACCTCTAGCTTCAGTCTTACGATGCTCCAACCTTCCAGATTGTCACTAAAGCTAGAAGCTTCTCCAATCACATAGAGACCAGAAGAAGGTTTATAGTAAATGGATGATTCAATTAGAGTACAGTTAAAACTTGTATAATATCGACAAATATCAGCGATTGCCCCGAGATTTGACCAAATTCCGATAAATATCGAATAAACTATTTTAGCTTTATCCAAATCAATCCGACCAAATGCTAGCTATTTCTAACTGAGTTTCCTCGTATTGCATCTGCAGAGTATATGCGAGTCATTCACTTCAGTCGATTGCACATCTTTGCCGTTTAATTGGATTGCTCGCAACTAATTTCGGTAGCAAAAATAACTTTCTCTTGCTAGGTTGTAGGTTGACCTAGAGACACAAGCTAGGCGCACATGCAACAATAAAGCTTAACTAGTTTATTTGTGTTGAAGGACACAGTTCGATAAATCGATAACCCTTCCTTGATAACTGATGAATTAGCTGCTTATATAACAAGAGTATGCCGCAAGCAATCTACGTTTTACTGAAGAGAATTATTAGCAGTATTACCAGCCCAAGTAATTCGTAAGCTATTTGCATTCTATTTAAAATATATGCTATATCTACTCATAGTTCGATAACTCTGAGAGCTTCGTTGTACAGCACTTAAATAATCGATCAGCAATCAAAAAGTTATCGTGAATTATATAAATGTAGTCGCCCGTTTAATAAGCTCTCATTCCGATTACAGCAATTGGTAAGGGATGCCATAAACATTTGATGATTTCTTGCTGCACTGCTATAAACTGAGTCTGTTATCGATAAGTGTTTGTTAAAATTTAATGCGCCATATCTTGTTTGGTTGAAAAAACTTAATTTGATCTGTTCGATATCATCGATTAAAATTATGCAACGAACAGGGCATAAAAGTGGGCGAAAGGCAGAGAAATGCGAATAGCTGTAATATGGCCGCAAAGTATGCAATAATAAATTGAGCCATTGTCGCTGCTGTTGCTGCTCCGAAGGGGGTGCTGGATGGAGATAACAGGGGTGGCCTGATAGCGCTGTAGGGAGCAGCCACTGAAGCGGCAGGAGGAGCACGAGCCGGAGCAGGAGCAGGAGCAGGAGCAGGGGCTAGGCTTCGGTTCTGCCACTTGGCGCGCACGTAATGAGCATATTTGTAGCATACTTTCAGCGTGTACGTGCGCCGTATGCGTGTGTGGGTGTGTGTGTGTGTATGGGAGAGAGTCCTTTGAGGCCAAGTTTATGCAAGTTATTCCTTGTGCTGCCCTCACGCCCAGGGCTCAGGACCTTGCCACTTCAACGCTGCTGCGCTTACCTTTCAAGTTGAACGCCAAACTTTTTTTGCAGCTCATATATGTATGTGTGTGTGTGTGTGTGTGTATATAGATAGATATATATTGGCACAGGTGCCCTGAGGCATTCGAGAGGTGTGTGCGATGGGGCGTGGCAGCTGGCAGCCGCGTGGGCGACTGGGCGCTGCATAGGTTGACCCGAGAGGCAGCGCTTTGATTTTGTGTCTGCATTTAATGCCAAATTACAAGGCCAAAGCGATAAACTACAAGAATTCCACCAAATGTGCGTGGTGCGTGGTGCGTGGTGCATATACCCTGTACTTAATGAGAGTCGAATTATGATACCCCAAAATTCGGATTATGAATGGGTCTGCCTCAACCTCCAACAGTTCTATTTCAGTGATCTATATTTGCTATGGCAATTCCACTTGAGAACTCACAATTATAGGTGAGTTTACTCTGCTGCCCTATTTTGCCAATATACAAAGTTGAAAAACCAAAAGAAAATCATTTTCAATGAAAATCGATAAAGGAAAAGCAAATAAATATTGCTTAAGAGTCAGCCACGATTCGATTAAGCTTTGATTTCGATTTCGAGTGGAACTCAAGTGGAACTGAAAACAGAGCCAAGAGCACTCCTTACGCAATCATTTATCGTATTCAGCGAGAAGTCATTTAAAGATATGTTGCGCTTGATTACTTTATAAATTGTAAACATGAGACTTGCGCCCATCATCAACTCGTTATTGAGCTATTTGAAACTTGAGCTCAAAGTTTCCATATCTCTGCCCATTGATATGATTTAGCGAAGGATTCGTTGGACGGGGAGGAGGCGAGGAAGAGGGGCAGGAGGCAGCAGCTGGGTATAGGATATTTGTTGTTGGTTTATTTTTGGTGCGCTCAAAAGCGCAAAGAGCGTAAATTCATAAAACGTTCGCTGGGCGTGAAAGTGTTTTGACATACGCTGGGAAATCATATCCGCTATACACACACACACTCAAGCACACATACACACACAGAGAGATGGTGACAACCTTCGCTTACCTTTGGCTTTGGCGCTAACGAGCTTCAAGTTTAACAATGAGCGAACATTTTGCAGCTCATTGAATTTGAAGTCATGTGAAAGCAGCACACACACACAATGAGAGGGAAAGAGAGAGGGAAAGGGAGAGAAAGAGAGAGAGAGAGAGAGTACTCCCACACACACTCACATTCATATAGCAATCAGTCAGTCCAAGGCTTTATTTTTTTCCGTTTGCGCATGGAGAAGGCGTTGACAATTGCATTGCAAAGGACAATGTCGAGTGCCTGTCAAATGAAAATGTGAAAGAAGAAAATGAAATAAAAATAAATAAAAATGAAATGAAATGAAATAAAAGTAAAGAGCATAGACGTGAAAATCTTTTGGCACATGCACAGCACAAATTGCAAAGCCAATTGAACAATTCGTAATGCCGAGCGCTTCCATTGTTGTCCTTTGTGTCAATTTGTATAACACTAATAGGCAATTGAGTTCAGCCAGCAATTCTCTCTCTCTCTCGCATCTCTGTGGGCTGTGGGCATATTCGTAAAGGTTGCACTGGCTGCCCCTGCTGCCCCTGCTGCCCCTGCTGCCCCTGCTGCCCCTGCTGCCCCTGCTGCCGCGGCTCATCGCAAGTGGAATCAATCTCATTAAGCCGTAATCATAGCTGATAATTATCCTCTGTCTGTCGCTCCTTTTAGCTTCGTTTCATTGTTTTGTAATTCATTTCATAACAGTTTCACTGGCTGTTAAGCTTATCTTTTGTCCGTTATCTCTCGGCCTCTTGCGTGATTTTCACGTCTCTCATATCAGTTATTTAACAATGGGAATTTATATATTTGCGTTATTTCTACTTTTCTTTTCATTGTCTTTTCTTCTTAACTGTTTCACTGTCTTCATTGCTAAAGTCGAAATGGAATACCCTCTCATTTCACTTTTTTCTCTCTCTCCTCGTTGAGCGATCTCTTATATTCTCATCTTCTATTTACCCTCCATACTCAGTACATCTTTATAGCTCTCCTTGCTTATCTCTACAACTGTCTTTCATCTCGCTTCTTGTAACAATCTATCTTTCAAGTATGCTTCCTTTATCTATCTCACGATCATTCTCTATCTTTCTCTATTATATCTATCTTTCACTCTCTATCCCTTAATCCACTCATCTCTTCGATATTTTCTCCATTTCTATCACTCTCTCTGTCTCTCTCTCTCCCTCTCTCTCTCTCTTTCTCTCTTTCTTCATATGGGGCCTTGGCAACGCTTTGTGAAATTTATTTCCATAGAGTCCGCTCTGGAGCAACTCAAATTTCTAGTTTCGAATTTCTTGCTAAAACTAAAGCCGCATTTATTCAATTATATTTGAGCAGTTGCACACACACACACCCGCACACACATGCACACACCCGCACACTCACCCACAACAGGCACACATATAGCATGTAGCAGGCATGCATGCAACACATTTCACTGTCTTCCACAATTGGCAATGCAACATGGCCACAGACGAGACCGCATGCCTCACCTCTGGCCGCCCCTCCCCTGATTTCCGCCCGCAACAGACGCCCAACCACAACCACAGCCGCAAGCGAGCACCCAATGGCTGAATGGCTGAATGTCCAGAGTGCAGCTGGACAGACATTTGCTTGTACGTGAGCCAAAAAGTGTTTTATGCATTCAATTTTATTTGATAATACCCTGTAGCCAGCGCACCAACTGGGCACTGATGAGTCTCTAAAAAAAATTTGTAGAGATGTCAGAGATAACGTTTCAAAAAGTGACATATATATTGAATCTACTTTGTCATATACTACTGAAATATGAAATATGCCGAAATACAGGGTATATTATAGTCTGCCGCCTGCGAGTGCGTTGCACCTCTCTTGTATTAAATTTGATTGTTTTTTTGTGCTTCTATGCTCACCTGAATAGTGAAAGGAGAGTATATTGGCTTTCGAAAAAACAGAAATTTTGGGTCAAAATTGTAGAGCTGTTCGATTTGTTGAGCAACATGATAAATATATAAATACGGAATCCCAAAATATCTATATTCGAATATACTCGACTAAGCGAGCATGCTGCAGTCAGCTATGCCCGACTGCAAYGCTCTTGTTTTTGTTTTTGTTTTCTCTTTCAGTTGAATTTTGTGGAATTTAGAGCTCTAGCACATTTTCTAATTTATATTTATCTATTGTTTCTTTGCAGCTTAACATAAATAGAAAATCTAATAAATTAAAAAAGAGAAAACAAGAACAACACAAATTAACAAATAGCTAATCCAATATGCTGGGAATAAACTAAAGCGGAAAACTTCAGCTGAATAATTGAACTAACTAAGAGGAACCGAGCAGAATGTGATCTAAATATAATTAAGAAGCAGATGAACTAGAGAAAACTTTGTGCATTGTAAATCGCTAAGACGTTGTCCAGCACTAGATGACATGTGTGGTGTGCCAGTGTTGCCAAACTCAAATAGAAAACCCTAAGCAAGCCATTCAAACTCAATAACAAGAAATCAGTGGATCGATTAATCGATAGGCCGATAAACGCAAACCAAATATAGCAAAGGCATTGAGCATATCGATGTGCATATATGTATTGCTGTAGCTATAGCCAAATACACAGACATAGACTTTAACGACAACTGTATATATCATGACCAAAAAGTACGAGTTCGATTGGATAATTCCGGTGCCGCCGGAACTAACAACTGGCGCGGTCTTCGATCGCTGGTTCGAGAACGAGAAGGAGACCAAAGAGAATGACTTTGAGCGCGATGCGCTCTTCAAAGTCGATGAGTATGGTTTCTTTCTCTACTGGAAGAGCGAGGGACGGGTATGTACACAAATCGATAGGCCAACAAGCCGATAGACCGATAACTTTATTCTAACATCGATTTCATTATTATCTTTCGATAGGATGGCGATGTCATTGAGCTGTGTCAAGTGAGCGACATTCGAGCTGGCGGCACTCCAAAGGTAAGCAACTTGTTAATACCTGCAGAAGAAGAAAAGTTTCTATAGCTGTTAGTTAACATAGACCTAACAGCATTGATACTGTAAGAATAAGTTTGATTCAGAGGAGCAAAAGGAAATGTCAATGTAGCTGGGCATAAATTTCGTGAGGAATATTTATAGTTGGATATGGTTAAAGTAACAGTATCTGTAACAGTAGCAGTATCTGTAACAGTAACAGTTGCAGTAACATGATGATGGATAGCTAACGGTAGTTATGTAACTGCTGATAGTTGGGTCTTCAACATCCATATCTATGGCATGCATTATATAATGCCTGGAATCATAAATTCTCGCCGCCTTCAACGAGAAAGTGTGTTAAATGCAACGTTTTGCCGTTATTAAATTCAATTAGAGCCATTTCGCGGAAGAGCTTGGCAATATGTCAAGTTCTCATGAATAAGTTGACATCATTTGGCATTCGGCTCAATCGCACCCACCTGCAGCAATGGCCTTTATTATTTATGAACAGAACACGGGCTGATATCATACGCTTTGCAAATGGATCAGGGAGTCGGGGTCGAGTTGTTCTCTCCCTCTCTCGCTCTCTCTCTCTTTCGTTTACCTCGTGTTCAGCTGCGCCAATTAGGTTGCAGCCATCGTTGGCCAGCGCTTGGTGCACTTTGATGTGCATTAACCCACATCCTGTGCCTGTGCCTTTGCCTTTGCCGGGCCCCAAAGGCCCGTCGTCCGTCGCCTGTCGGATGGCACCTGGCAGGTGTCAAAGGTGGGCATTGAGAATTGGCGATTGAACAGGTGCTGACACGATTAAAATGTGTGCCACAGCGAGCATATACGAGCATATCTCAATTAGGCTGCCACTGCAAGCACTCATACCACTCGTGCCACGTGCCACGTGCCACATGCTGTGGCAATAAAAATATAAACGAAACAGAAAAATCCGCGGGGAAGCTCGCTCTAGCCCATAAATTGCATTTAGTGGCAACAGCAGCAACAACAACAACAACAACAACAACAACTATCAATTGCACTATATGTCATGGCTCAGTGGGCCGTGGGCAGTGGGCTGTGGGCGTGGCACCATCCATGGGCAATAAATCCAGCGCATAGAGACAAATGCGTCGAAATGAAGCCAACGCCAGCCATCGACCAAAACAACAAAAATCCATTGAGAGTCAAAGTGACACATTGACACATTAACTGACAACCACACACACACACACACACACACATACATGCAGGTACAGCTTACACTAGACGAAACACACAAGTCGTAACTGTATTAAGCTGTTCATTAAAAATGCATTCAACTTTAGCGTCCATCAGGCCCTTTAAGCCTTTTAAGCAGCTTTGTCTCTATGGAAGCTCGATACAAAGTAATACAATGATGTCTGCAGAAATGTTAAAGTTAGATTGGCATGACAGTGAGTGAGATTTGGCTCTAAGCCTATCTTTTGCCTATGCATACTATCGAGCCCTTGCTGTGAAGTATCGATAAGTATCGATTTGAACGATTCGCAATGAAGATCGGCTTCCACTTTAAGTCAGATCTTTCGATAAATGTAAAGTAGATGAATCTATTTTATAAAAAGCAAAGCTGCAAAGCTGTGGACGATATTGTTACTACAAAGGCTAGGTATACTAGATTAGATCTTGAAATAGTTGTACCTAGAAACTCCAAGCTCTTGGTCTTTCAAATAATGTCCAAATAGATTAAGATCCTAAACAGACATGATAGATGGGTATGACAGGAGAGACAACTTTCGTCTTTCATCTGGTGAGCCATTAGACTGCACAATATTCGTGTCGGAATCGATATCTTAGCAACTGTCAAACAGAGCATAAGTAACGTTGTTACCGTATTTAGATATGCAGATGGATTTCAATGAATTTCTTTTTCTCTGCTATTCTAGCTATCACTTGTTGGTTTTTCTCAGTGTAGAAGGTATAGAAAAATATGATAACAAGGGTTGCGCATCGCTGCACTTGTAAATTGAAAAGTGTCAAAGATTTTACAATTCCTGCTGCAACGTTAAAGTGCAGCTAGAGAGAGATGAAGAGCGGGATAGAGAGGGATATAGAGACAGATAGTGCATGAGAGGCAAGAGAGCAGTGTGTAGCGCTTACTTTTCGGGCATCAGTCAAGCTGTTTCCGCACCAAACGGCCCACACCTGAAGCCCACTCGAACACTTTTTGAAAATCCCCAAATGCCAGTCGAGTGGAACATTTGCTGCTGCTGCCGCTGCTGCTGCTGCTGCTGCTGCTGCTGCTGCTGATGATGATGCTTCAAGTGCTCAACTTGTGGTGCTTTGCCTTAAAGCCTTTCCAGCTGGCTGCAATCCTTTTGAGCCAATACACACCCACACACACACACGCAGACTTGGTGGGCAAGCCGTTTTCATGTCAGCTGCCAAATAAATTCAATTAAAATGCAAAACAAATGCCAATGAGACAAAGAGAGAAAGAGAGAGAGAGAGAGAGAGAGAGAGAGAAAGATAGCGAGTCAGAGTAAAAGGCAAGTAAAGAATGGACCAAAGTGTGTATGAAAATGCGGGCTAGAAGGCAACAGCAGCCGCAGCCGCAGCAGCCGCATGAAATTTGTATAATGGCCAGAAAGGAAAATATATATGTATATATATAAATATATATGCACATATATATGTATATGTATATGTGTATGTATTGCAGGCGAATACAAGAGAAAGGCGGAAGAGGAAGAAACCTCATACCCTTATATAATTTATATATGTATAGTTGGGAGCGTGCAAAGAAGTTTTCTTCTTTTTTTCCTCTCCTTGTTTTTTGACCACACATAAAATTTGAAAGAAAAACAACAGCAAAAAAATAGAATACAAAATGCAAAACTTTAGCTCTCTCTGTATGTATATGTGTGTGTGTGTGTCACAGGCACTCACAAAAGTATACACACACACAGAGAGAGACAGAGAGACACACACATGTGTGTCTAAATACATATTTATATAGGTAGAGCTAAATGTGGCTTGTGTGTGTGTGTGTGTGTGTATGCACATTTGAAGCGTTTGCACTTGCACATGCCAGCGAGGGGAGCTCAAAAAGTTGCTGCATATTAGGCATATATGTATATATCATATTTATTTAGGTAATATCCCTAACAAGAAACTCTTTTATAGTTTTGAGTAGCTCAATCGAATTTTATTGAAACTCACTCTCACTCTAACAGCGCATAACAATATCAATGAATATACTTATGGCTACAAGCGTATTGAGGCTACATTCAAGTCAGTTTGTATGGAGTAGCACATTATTCATAAGAGTGACTAGAATTTTCTGACACTGCTTCACTTATGGACGATTTGGTTGACTGTATATCTGCCCATGCCTACGTCTCTCTTTCTCTCATTTACTATGTATCTTTAGCTCTCCGGCCTTTTCTATTTCTCACTCACTCTCTCATTCTCTAACCCTTTCTTTTCCTCCCTCTCTGTCTTGTTTCTATCTCTCTCTCCCTGTCTACATCTCTCGCTATCTTTCTTTCTCACTCTTTTTTTTTACGGCCCCTCTCTCTCCATCCCTTTCTCCTGTCGTCTCAGCTTGTCTGGGCTTTCATCAATGCTACTTGCTATGGCCTCCGCTTTGAAAAGTAGATCAAATTCCACAACTAAATTAATGGGTACACAATCTTTTTAATTAGGACTACATTGAAGACCTTCATGACAGCAAAGTTGCAAGCATTAGATCTTCAATCAGTCCTATTGATTGCCAATCAATCAATTTGATTAAAGAATAATAAAGTTCTTTTTATATATAGACTTTTAGGCTTTTGTTTTATTTCCGATTTGGGAGAAAAAATTTCCGTTTTTCTGCACAATAAATCGCATTATTATTAGATCTAAGAACTTTTGGATTTACCTACTTAAAATCGTAAATGGACGACTACACTTAAAGTTCCTTTTTCTTGCTATCTGTGTGAATGTATTTGTGTGTTATGTCTCTATGTGTGTGTGTGTGTGTGTGTGCTGGCAGCACTTGAAATGTTTGGTCATCAATATTAAATCAGCGAGCCACACAAACCAACTAACACACTTACAAACGCACACACACATACATATGTATGTATGTATATGCACATGTATGTGTATACGTATATGTATGTGTATGCTCGAAAAGGGAACTCGTAAGTGCCAGTCGCACAATGAACCATTAAAAGTTGCTTCGTTTGGCAAAGCACAAAAAAAATAAGGAAGGAGCAGAAGAAGAAGAGCAGGCAACACAAAAATGTAAATTCACTGATAGCCACCTCATATACCCTGTACCTACTAAAGAGGCAACTGTGGAAATGTTTGTGCTGATCTAGAAATTGTAAGCCCAAAGAAAACTTGATATAGTGTGAATACTTTTGACTACAACTGTTAATGAGCATCAAGAGTCAAATATATGTTGAGAAAGTATCTGTATCGAGCACTAGTGAAACTAGATGATGATCAAGATGAACTGGTTCTCAATCTCGATGAAATCTTCCAGATGAACTTGTTCTTAATCCAGCTGGTAGTTCACATGAACACGAACAACTAGCGTATCTGCTGTGGGCTACTCTGACTTGAGCTGCATATGCCCAACTACATCAATTTCCAGGGTAGCTCAAGTAAAACTGCCAACAAATATTGAAAACGCAAAATTTGAGCTTTATTGCAGTTTTTGCTGCTGTTGTTGTTGCTGCTGTTGTTGCTGCTGCTGTTGCTGCTGTTGTTGCTGCTGCTGCTTTTCAATAATGCACGAAGCTTCATTGCTGACGAAGTACGTCAAACAGCAGCAACGGCAGCAACAATAATAACAAGGACAACAATCAGAAAGGACCAAGCGAGCGATGAAAAAGGCAAAGGAGGACGACAGCGCGCAATGAGAAGTGGAAGCTGCTGAAAAGGCAACACATTTTGTATATTTGGCCAACATTTTGTGCCGTTCTCTGTTGGCAGTTGGTTGAATTGAATGCTTTACTTGCTGTTGCTTACTGCTGCTTCTTCTTCGCCTCCATTTTGGCTTATTTATTCGCTGACTTATTTAGCACTCGAAAGTATGCAACGATTCGAGCCCTAGCCAGATCCCCAGCCCCCCTTTGGCGACTGTTACAAATTGCACTCGGTTTGATTGCCATCGAATCTCAATTGGCATTTGCAATTGCCACTCCGACGGCGACTGCGAATTCGCCTCTCAGCTCGAAATCGAATTCGAATTTAAGCTGCATTCGATCGAGCTATTAACTATAGCTGGCGCGGCGCCTCCGTCTGCCACTCGCCCCAATACAAAATCCAGCAACTGTTTGAAAGTTCATGTCAGCATGTGAACCGCATGTTAAATTTATGCTGCAAATCGTAACAAGAATTTTAAACACTTTTGCGTGCATAAACAACTTTTGTTTTCCCCATATGCAGTGAAACTTTGCTCTTTTGTTGACTCCCACACTCAGAAATATTGTTGTTGTTGTTGTTGTTGTTGTTGTCTGGCTACGATGTGTCAACAAATTGCCAACACTTTGACCACAACTGCAAATGTGTTGCGTGTATTACAGGGTATAGCGAGGCCACAGCAGGGTATATGATGGCCGTGTAGAGAGGATATACTTCTCGAGGCTGAGATAGTCTACTGTAGTACAGGGTATAGTGAAGTGCCTTCAAGTCTAGCAAAGCATATAATAGATGATACATAGCTTTCCATAAGCTTTAATGATTCACTATAATACAATGTATCATAAGGAGTTCTCAAAGATTCAGAGCAAGATATCATACAGAGTATGCATAACTATTCATCAGCTATAATAATGCAGTATATTACAGGGTATGTCAAAGAGAATACCATAATCTAATCAAGTCTAGTACTGGGTGTAATCAAGAATATATATAAAATAAGTAGATATTCAGGCCTCTTCATCTATCAGGGTATAGTAAAGGGAATACCTATGTAAAACTATTCTTCATCTATCTATTTCATCATCTATCGGGGTATACTGAAGGAAATACCTATGTAATTCTATTCCACAAGCTTTGTCTTCATCTATCTATCTCTTCAACTATCAGGGTACATATAGGAAAGAGAATACCTAAGTAAATCTATTCCAAAAACTTCGTCTCCTCTGACATATACCTTTGTGCCCACCAATTTTGATMAAATGCAGCAGCAGCAACTCTATCATCCATATACAGGGTATATGCTAGTCTAGCCTAATTATGCTGCACAGTCACAGTGAATTGTGTTCGAATTGCTGATAGTTTTCGCATTGGAATCCGAATTATTTATTTTGACTAGCGTGCGTGCGAATCGAAGGTCGAGTGCGAAATTAAAATTCTATTTTCCTATTTGGAATTTCGCTCCGAGATTTATTTATTTTTAATTCAATGTACAAATGTTGATAAATGCTTCTGAAATCGCTGCCGCCCTCTCCACCTCCACCTCCAGCTGAACCCTGACCGACCCGTTCCGTACCCCTAACCAAGCAGCCCAACCAGCATAAATACAATTTGCTTTCTGCTTTCGCTGCGCCTTGATTAATGATACGAACTGAGATTAATGTTGCTGCCGCTGATGCTGATGCTGTTGATGTTGATGTTGTTGCTGTAGCTGCTGCTGGTGTTGCTGTTGTTGCTGTTGATGTTTGCTGAAGTCTGAATTGCTGATGTCGCTACTGCTGCTATTGCTGTAACACTTGCTGCTGCTGCTGATGATGGTGTTACTGCTGCTGCTGTTGAAGGTGTTACTGCTGCTGCAGCTGTTGTTGCTGTTGTTGTTGTCGATGTTGCTGTTGTTGTTGTGACTATTCTTATTGCTGAAGTCTGAACTGCTGATGTCGCTACTGCTGCTATTCCTGTAACACTTGCTGCTGCTGCAGATTTCTTTTTATTTGAAGGTGTTACTGTTGCTGCTGTTGCTGTCGCTGCTGTTCATATTGCTGTTGTTGCAGTGGCTATTCTTATTGCTGAAGTCTACAATGCTTATGTTGCTGCTGTTGCTGCTGCTGTTGTTGATGTTTTTCTCATTGCTGCTGCTGATACTAATATTGCTGTTGTCATTCAAATGGCTGTTGCAGCACTTACTGCTGCTGTTGCTGCTGTTCGTGTTGATGTGTCTATTGTTGCTGCGTTCAGTATTGTTGCTGATGCTATTGCTGTTGCTATTGCCGTTGATGTTGCTGATGTTGTTGCTTTGGCTCCTGTTACCCTTGCTGTTGCAGCTGCTGCTGCTGTAGTRCCTGATTCTGTTACCTTGGACGCAGTTGTTGCTTATGTTGCTTCAATTGCTGTTGTTGTTGTTGCTGGGGCCAGTATTGTTTCTCTTACTGTTATTGCTGTGTTTTTGCTGGAGATGTTCGCTGTGGTTGCATTGCTGCTGCAAATGTTATTGCTGTTGCTGTTCCTACTTTACCTACAGCTCTTTCCATTGCTGATGGCACAGCTGCTGCTGCTGTTGATTTTTCTGTTTATTGTTATTATGAATGCTATGATGTTGCTCCCGCACTCACTGTTGCTGCATCAATTTAGATTGCCGCTGTCACGCCCCACTGCAATTCGAATAGCTATCGACCCCTTTAACTATCCAAACTATTCGTTGCCGTTGGCTGTTGGCCATGATTGGACTGATAAGCAAATTTGAGATGCGTGAAGCGCGTAATTCGAAATGGGCCCACAGGTCGTATGCGTGATGTTTGCCGCCTCCTCTAGCAAATTGCTATAAATTACTTGAAATTGACATGGAAATGGGGATGCCGTGTAAGAAATTTAGAGAAAATATGTAAAGCGCAGTTTAATAGTGTTAAGTAGAGAATATGGTTAACGATATTTATCGATTTTTATAAGCAAAATTGTCGTTGATGAACTAAATGCAGCAGACATCAAATTCGCTAGAGAAACCTATTCAAACTTAGCTCGAGGAATACATATATACGATGAAAGAGTTAAGTTTAGCTATAGATACACATAAATACAGCCTATCTATAACGATATCTATCGATTTATTGTAATTCCTTTTAAATATCATCTAATCTTTACATATATTTGACTTGTTTTACAGGATCCAAAGATATTGGATAAAGTAACCAAAAAGAATGGCACGAATATACAGGAACTGGATAAACGTTCGCTCACCATATGCTCGAACACGGACTATATCAATATAACATATCATCATGTTATTTGCCCCGATGCAGCAACAGCCAAGGTATAGTAGTTTCGCTGAACGATGATCAGTGGTATCACTCGTGATCATTGATCAGCGAGTGGCTCGGGAGAGTGGCAGGAGAGATCATTTGGCTCATGTGGATCATATTCAAGCATTTGCATACCTCTCTGTACTTATAGATCTGGCTAGATGGCATACGAAAAATAACACATAATGTCAAAGCGAACAATATCTGTCCGATGATGTGTCTGAGAAAACAGTAAGTGAACTCTGGCAGTTCCCGCACGAATTTCGAATAGACGCACCATATAATACCCTCTGTTTTTCTCTCTATCTCTGTGTTCGTCTTCAAGAATATATAAACAAAGCGTGCTATATTTTTATTATTATACTCTGCGATGTTACAGCACGGCGCAACTTTGCTTTCCTCACATACATACGTCATATATCTACATCTATCTATATACATATATATCTCATATCATCACATATCTATTGATTAAATGGATATGACTGTACATAATTCTGTTCATATTGTTTTCTAATTTGCATGTCTTGCGCCTTGTTTATGTTCTTATCGTTATTGTTATTGTGTTGTCGTTAATCGTTAATCGTTATCCTGTTATCGTCTTATCGATAACAACCGAGCAGAGCTGGCAAAAAAACTTGCGACTCATAACGCATAACAATCGCGCCACCAACGTGTGCCCACGCACCAATCTAATGAAACAGTAAGTCACTCAACTAAATTTCCCATCGAAATCTATCGAAATTTTATCGATAATATTGCCAGTCTATCGATCTCTTAACTCTTATTTGGTAAGTATTACGTAACACTTGGCAAGCTATTCAAGCTGGGTAAATGAGATATTCCAGTGAAGCGAGGTAGATAGATAAAGAATCACTAAACTAGATAGCTCAAATATAAATGAAAACGTATGCCTAGCAGATCTTATACGATAACTGATGGAAAAGTTAGTTTCTCAACTCAAATCCCAAACTCTAAGAGGAAACTTTTGCCAAATGCAAGCTGAGATAAGCTGAGACATCACTGGAAATAAGAAACAGCTAATAAAGACAAATAGACTTTAGAATTCAAGAGTAAATATATATGCATACCTATATACATCTCTATATACATGGCATATATTTATGGCATTGCGAAGCAAATTAAGCGCATCGCGTAGAGAACGAGAACATTGCAATTTGTATATTATTATTGCTAGCAAATAGTCTAAACAAATCTCGTCTGGTGCCTCTCGGGCAGGTGGGCAGATGGGCAGGTGGGCAGCGGAAACGGAAACGACATCATCAGCTGCCACCTAACCTCACTTGGGCCAAATAAGACGAAAAGAATAGAGAAAAGCGAAATGCGAAGAAGAAAAGCAACTGTAAAATTGTTGGCGTTGTTTCGCAACACACAAAATTTTCATTTCGTTTGCATTCGACTCGGAAGAAATGAAGCTATTACCGTTCACTATAACTGTAAATATATACATATGTGGCTATCTCTTTATATGCATATGTATATGTAGTACATCTCTTGATTAATGACAGGGCGACTTACAGAACTTTTTTGATTGCCAAAGAACTTGACACAATGTGCAACGAGTTTACAGTTATACAAAGTACAGCTGACTTTTGTCTCGTTGCGCAATTTGCAACTTGTTGTAGCGCTTCTCTCGTTCGCTTCTCTCTGCTGGCAGAGCTGCAGCTTGTTTCCCAATCACATTGTCTGGCTTCTTCTTGGCGTCACTTTTCGCTGCTGTGCGAGTTGTTGTGGCAAAAGTTAAGCAGCTGCAGCGGGCACTGCTTCTGCTTCGCTTCTCCCTTTGTTAGGCCCCAAGTTGGCCGTCTAACTTCTATCATTGATTTTATAGTAAATCGGTTTATTTGCTGTTATAACAGCAGCGAGCAGCGAGCAGCGCTGCTCTCTTCATCGCTTCTCGCTTGCTTTGCTCTTAAAGTCACTTCGCAGTCCCTGGAGACAGGCTCTCCCCATTTGACTATACTCTGGTTTTATTTCAAGGTCTTTCCTTAACTTGACTTCTCACAGCGCTTCTCTCGCACTGAACTACTTATTGCTGCTTGTTCTCTCTCTCTCTCTCTCCCTCCCCCTGCATCTCTATGCATTATCTGTAATAATAATTTACTTCGCACTTCTCTTAAAGCTTCTCGCTGACAGACTCACAGGTCCGTTTGCAAGCGAATTGGAAGTCTAAGGGCTGATGAACCGGCGGCAGCAATTAAATGTTTGCATTGGCAATGCGTTGACCCAGTTTGCAAAAATTGTTATTGTTGATTGTTAACTGTTGATTGTTCTCCTTATGGACAGGACAGGACGCGATAGGGCAGGGAGGGACAGGGCAAGGTCTTGAGGCATTAACTGCAATTACTTGTCTAACTTAACCCTGGGCTAGCTTTGAATGAGGTTATTGGGTCTCTCGAGTGGCCAGACACACCCACCCACACACACACACCCACACACACACACACACAGGTGGAGCACACGCAAATCCTGCGCTAAGTAATGAATGTCCATCGCATGACCAACGAGTGTCCTGCACTGAGTCCGAGTGAAGGAGGTCAGCTCAGTTGCCAGCACAAATTGAATTTAAGCTCAAGACATTCTTTTAAATGAATTGTTGCCGCCGCCAGCTGTAATGCACTTTCGCCCCATCGATCATTTGGGTTGCCAATTAATTGCCAATTGCAAATTGCAAATTGCGAATTGCGAATTGCGAATTGCGAAATGCGAATTGCAAATTACGAACTGCAATTACATTTTCAATATCGATTTTAATTACACTTTAATTTCGGCTCCCTTTCAATTGTATATGAGCCATCGAGTCGGAAAATAAGTGCGCTCTTTTATGAGCATACCCCTTAGAGCTCTCTGCGAGATGTTAGGCAGTACGTACTCAGACATTGATCTGAAGACCTCTAAGAGTTCGAGCCTCGTGCCCTGCTATTTCAGAATATAATCTAGATATATCAGCATATCTAAGAAGAAGACATAGAGTAGAGCTATGAATATGCTCCAAGGGTATCTCCTAGTCAAGTCAACTGAAACAGTCTTATTTGCTCTTGCGCTTTGTTCACTTATAGTTGAAGTGTTTCGAAAGCCTTCTCCAATTAAAATGCAGTTTTATGTGAAATTATTTTGAATGGAACCATATACATAGTACTCTAGAAAGAACTTTTACTATGGGTAGAGTTTGAGTAGAAATTTTTATGTATTGGGATGTGGGAAAGGAGATATGTATAAGCATTATTCAATGAGTGAGTCCATCATTTCCTTTAGATGTGGTAAGTCTAAAGTCTTCTCAGATTTTCATTTCTTCTTAGTTCAGCTTTCTCAGTTTTTATATTAATATTAATCAATTGGCTAACCAAATCATGGCCCAGCAAACGCTCTGCTCGAAGGTAAAGTATAATTCATATTTATACTAAATACTTTATGCATGTACGTAATATCACAGTAGGACTATTTATATATCCATATCTTGACCTCTTTGTATTTAGTTCACTTGACTCAATTCTCGATTTCATTCAATTCATTCAAGTTGGATGCGTCTCAGCTATTGTGTGGAAAAGAGTGGCAAGATACCAGTTAAGACGCTGGCCAAAACATTCGCATCTGGCAAAACTGAGAAGCTGGTGTACACGTGCATCAAGGATGCGGGCCTGCCGGACGATAAGAATGCGACAATGACGAAGGAACAGTTCACGTTTGATAAGTTTTATGCGCTCTACCACAAGGTCTGTCCCCGCAACGATATCGAGGAGCTATTCACATCGATGTAAGTCAAACAAGTTGAGCACTGTTCCCAGCTCCCACATAGATGATATCCCCGGGAAATGATTATCCTGTCTGACTTGTTTACTATAATCAAAGATCTATTTAAAGTGTGCCAACTATTTAGTAGTAGTTCCCAGTAAATCCCTTGAAAATCCGTTATTGCAACTGTTCCCACTATTTCCAGAATACCCAGTATTATTAGTAGTTCAGTCATTCTTAGAGACTAAAGCTAGGGCAAATCTCCCCCATTTTCTTCATTTCACATTTTAAAATTGATCTCGACTTCCCCTTATGCAGCACAAAGGGCAAACAGGATTTTATCAGTCTGGAACAGTTCATACAGTTCATGAACGAAAAGCAGCGCGATCCGCGCATGAACGAGATCCTCTATCCGCTGTATGAGGAGAAACGCTGCACGGAGATTATCAATGACTACGAGAACGATGAGGAGAAGAAGAAGAATGGTATGGGGCATATGAGCATAATCTAAATCCATGCACATATCCATAAAACTATTTACTACTCTGCAGGACAACTCTCGTTGGACGGGTTCAAGCGCTACCTGATGTCCGATGAGAATGCGCCTGTGTTTCTGGATCGCCTCGACTTCTATATGGAAATGGACCAGCCCTTGGCGCATTACTATATCAATAGTTCGCATAATACGTATTTGTCCGGACGCCAGATCGGCGGCAAGAGCTCCGTCGAAATGTACCGGCAGACTCTGCTCGCGGGCTGTCGCTGCGTTGAGCTGGATTGCTGGAATGGCAAGGGCGAGGATGAGGAGCCGATTGTTACTCACGGCCACGCCTACTGTACGGAAATCTTGTTTAAGGTAAATAAAGAGAGAGTGAGAGAGAGAGAGAGAGAGAGAAAAGGTTTGCTGAATCAATATGTTTATTCCATTTAGGATTGCATTCAGGCCATAGCGGATTGCGCTTTCGTCTCGTCGGAATATCCGGTGATTCTGTCCTTTGAGAATCATTGCAATCGGGCGCAGCAATACAAATTAGCTAAATACTGTGATGACTTTTTTGGTGATCTGCTACTGAAGGAGCCTCTGCCGGATCATCCGGTGGGTATCTTGGTGATTTTCCTTTAGTCCAGCGAGAGCTAATCAAGTCTGCTTATCAGCTCGAACCGGGTCTACCGCTGCCGCCGCCGTGCAAGCTAAAGCGCAAGATTCTCATCAAAAACAAACGCATGAAGCCCGAGGTGGAGAAGGTCGAACTGGAGCTCTGGCTCAAGGGCGAGCTGAAGACCGACGACGATCCCGAGGAGGATGCCAGCGCAGGCAAGCCACCAGAGACCGCTGCTGCCCCGGCGCCCGTCCCAGAGGCAGCTGCCGCCGATGCCGCAGCCGAGGGCGCAGGCGGTGCCGAGGCGGAAGCAGCTGCTGCCAACTACAGCGGCTCCACCACCAATGTGCATCCCTGGCTCTCATCCATGGTCAATTATGCGCAGCCCATCAAATTCCAGGGCTTCGACAAGGCAATCGGTAAGTGGGAGAGTGTGAATGCTATCAGTGTGAGTGAGAGAGCGAGAGGGAGAGACAGAGTGGGAGTTGTAGAGCTAGAAGAAAGAAATACAGATCTAGAGAGGAAGAGAATGAGGAATCGAATGAAAGAAAGAGAGAAAACGAAAGTGAGAGGGAGCAGAAGAGAGAGTGTGTGATGGGGACAGAGACAGAGACAGAGACAGAGAGAGTGAGAGAGAGAGAGAGCGAGAAACATAGAGAGAAAATCAACTGAACGAAAACTTAGGATAAATAAAACTAATTTTAAAAGCCAATGCGAAAGAGAGACAAGAGAGAAAGCGAGAGATGGAAAGAGGGAGAGTGAGTGTGAGAGAGAGAGAGAGAGAGAGAGAGACACGGAGACATAGAGAGAGAAGCAACTGAATGAAAGCGTAGGTGAAATAAAAAAGTTTCAAAAGCCAATGCGACAGACAGACGTGGAGCTTATATGTATAAAGATAAGAAGATATTGGTAGATAGAGGGAGAGAAATATTGGCTTGAAATTAAATAGTAAAACAGTTATAAGATTGTGAGAACAAAACAAGAACAAGAACATTCGAAACCTAGTCAAGGAATGAGAATGGACAGAGCCCCAATAATCGTCGTTATACGTCTATGTATAGGGAAGGTAATCAGTGACTCAGCAGCAATACTTGTTGAGCCCAACATCAAAACTGTACTAGCTATAGACTCTGTATATCCCCTTAGTATAAACTAAAATTCCTAGAATCTTCCATATATACCTTTCCATATGCATAGAGCCAATTTTAACTTCTACCCAATTTCAATAACACTCTGCAATTTACACTTTCAGAAAAGAACATAGCCCACAACATGTCGTCGTTTGCGGAATCGGCGGGAATGAATTACTTGAAGCAGAGCTCGATCGACTTTGTCAATTACAACAAGCGTCAAATGTCGCGCATCTATCCGAAGGGCACGCGAGCCGACTCGTCCAACTATATGCCGCAGGTATTTTGGAACGCTGGCTGCCAGATGGTCTCATTGAATTTCCAGACATCCGATCTGCCCATGCAACTGAATCAGGGCAAATTCGAATACAATGGCGGCTGCGGCTACTTGCTGAAGCCGGACTTTATGCGACGCGCCGACAAGGACTTCGATCCGTTCGCGGATGCTCCGGTGGACGGTGTGATTGCGGCCCAGTGCTCGGTGAAGGTGATCGCCGGCCAGTTCTTGTCGGACAAGAAGGTGGGCACCTACGTGGAGGTGGACATGTTTGGCCTGCCGTCGGACACTGTGAAGAAGGAGTTCCGCACGCGCCTGGTGCCCAACAACGGGCTCAATCCCGTCTACAACGAGGATCCGTTCGTGTTCCGCAAGGTGGTGCTGCCCGATTTGGCGGTGCTGCGCTTTGGCGTCTATGAGGAGAGCGGCAAAATGATTGGACAACGCATCCTGCCCCTGGATGGCCTGCAGGCTGGCTACCGCCACGTCTCGCTGCGTACCGAGGCCAATTTCCCGATGTCGTTGCCCATGCTGTTTGTAAACATCGAATTGAAGATTTATGTACCTGATGGCTTTGAGGACTTCATGGCCATGCTGTCGGATCCGCGCGGCTTTGCCGGCGCCGCCAAACAGCAGAACGAGCAAATGAAGGCGCTGGGCATTGAGGAGCAGAGCGGCGGGGCCGCTCGCGACGCCGGCAAGGCCAAGGAGGAGGAGAAGAAGGAGCCGCCGCTTGTCTTCGAGCCGGTCACCCTCGAATCGTTGCGGCAGGAGAAGGGCTTTCAGAAGGTCGGCAAGAAGCAGATCAAGGAGCTGGACACGCTGCGCAAGAAGCACGCCAAGGAGCGCACCTCGGTGCAGAAGACCCAAAATGCGGCCATCGACAAGCTGATCAAGGGCAAGAGCAAAGATGATATTCGCAACGATGCGACCATTAAGAATGCGATCAACGACCAGACCAAGCAGTGGACCGACATGATTGCACGCCACCGCAAGGAGGAATGGGACATGCTGCGCCAGCATGTCCAGGACTCCCAGGACGCCATGAAGGCGCTCATGCTGACCGTACAGGCGGCCCAGATCAAGCAGCTCGAGGACCGTCATGCCAGGTGAATGCACACACCCACTCTTAACGCTAAGGCTACTCATTTACATATTTCCACCCACAGGGATATCAAAGAGCTCAATGCCAAGCAGGCCAAGACTTCGGCTGACACCGCCAAGGAAGTCCAAAACGACAAGACCCTTAAGACCAAAAACGAAAAGGATCGTCGTCTGCGCGAAAAGCGTCAGAACAATGTCAAACGCTTTATGGAGGAGAAAAAGGTAGGACAACTTCAAATATAGCCTAGATGTAGAATTATAGTCTAGATGTAGAAAGCTCTCTTTCAAAACAACTTTTTGTCTACCCTTGGAAAGATACATTTCCCATTATCCACACGTTGGTTTTTGTTGGAAATTTACCTCAGATATCTCGCCTATATATCCCGAAGACTTCTTATATAGTAGATTCCAAGTCGATCCCACAAATCCTGCATCAATTTGTTGAATTATTTTCTGCATTTTATACTCTATTTGCATTTGATCCCTCTTCACTCAGTCGACTTTACCGCGCATAAATGTAGTACCTCACTTCTCATCTCCCCCATTTACCCTCAAATCCTTCCTAATGCTGCCTACCTCAATTGTTCCTTAATGGAATGCAATGCAATACTAATCGTTTATCGTTTATCGTTATTCACAGCAAATCGGCGTTAAGCAGGGTCGCGCCATGGAAAAATTGAAATTGGCACACGCTAAACAGGTTGAGGAATTTAGTACCGATGTGCAAAAGGTACTAAATGAAACACGGCCGCAGACCGACACTATAACCAGTATTGAGACTGTACTTTAGACCACAAAAAACCGATAACGATTATCAAACAATAACAAAAATAATAACAATATCAAATACCAAAAAACAAATTACGTTGATCGGTTAAACGTTAACCGGCTAGCCGATGCTTTACAGTGTTTCGTACAGCTAGTTTTAATTGTAGCAAAAAGAAAAACTTTAACGAGTCACGAGTAGCGAGTACTCAGACCACACACACAACGTTCTAGTCGCTACAAAACAACTCTATTTATTTGAGCAAAAAAAAAAAAAAAAAAAAGAAGAGAAATATACCAAAAAATAAAAGCCTAAATGCAGAGAAATATTATAAAACGAATATCGAAATAATCGAGAATAATGCAAATTCATGAGTAGCTGCTAATAAAATTTTAACTAACTGCTAAGATGTAATTATCTATATCCATTTTTTTCTCTATATATGTATATATATATCAATTTATGTTATATATGTGTATATATGTGTATTTATTTGTTCTACGTTTTTATTTGATTATTTTTTTGTTTTTCAATTTAATTTTGCAAAAATTGTTTTAAATTTGTTTTTCGTTTGCTTCGTCTTGTTTTCTCTTTCCAAAAACATTTGTATAGAAACTTTGTTTTGTTGCTTTTGTTTTTAAGATTTCATCTAGTATTTTTTCGGTTTGGTTGAAATTCTAGTATTTGTATTTGGCAGTTAACTTGAATTCCCAGCAAAAGAACGAGGCAGCTCTACTACATATATATATATATACGAGGTCTGCTCAAAATAATTGATCAATATATCTATTTTGTGTCTATAAAGAAATCCCCATTAGACATTATATCATGGTTTCTTTCAATCAGCTGTACCTTCATCAATATTTTCTTTAGCTGCTGTTCTAAGGAACCTCTTCAGATCCTTCGAAACTCACAAGAAAGAAGTTGATTGATCTCTTGCATTTGGCCAAAAAGAATTTCAATGTTCCAGTTTTTAGAATCCATCTGAGATGAGCCAAAGCATGGAATATATGAGCGAAAGCATAATGCCAAAAAAGTAACGAAAATCGATAACACATAGTCCGTGAAAATCGAAAATTCATATCATTCTTTGAACACACCTCGTATATATAATATCTGTCTAACTATTGTACTACTCATACTTGAGCTGTTTAGTCTTACATTTCTCTATCTCTCTCTATCTCTCTCTTAGTCTATCTCTGTGTTTCTCTCTCTCTCTCTCTCTCTCCCACTCTCTTTCTCTCGCTTTCACACACTCGTTTAACAATTTTATGCTAAAAAAAAAAAAATCAAACAAACAATTTCATTTTAACATAACATTTTGAACATTTACCGCTATTCGCTAAACGTTTTGCTGTGCGTCTAAATTGAAACGCAACCGAAATCATGTCCAAAATTAACCGAACAAAATTCCATTCTCTCTCTCTTCTTTTCTCTTTTCTCTCCCCCCAAACACRCACACACACACACATATATATCATGCTGCTGCTGAACATTGATCACTGATCCCTGATCAATGATCAAAACTAACAACACTTCACATTAACAGCTTATGGATATGTACAAAATCGAGGAGGAGGCCTATAAGACCCAAGGAAAGACGGAGTTTTATGCTTAAGCAACAGCAACAAGAGCAACAACAGCTTAAAGAAATCTATATAAAAAGTTTAAGAGGAAGAAGAGGAGTTTTAGTGTACGCCTATATAATTTAGAACTATGAAGAAGATGAAGAAATCAATTCAAAAACAAAACAAACGAAAAACTGTATTCGAAATAAAAAGTCAACACTTTGTGCTTTATACTTATTTAAGACGTTACAAAACGTGGCAAACTATCCAGCAAAAATAAATATATATGTATATGAAT